CTATATCCTTCGAGTCTTTAATGAATAACCCCCTAAGTCACTGCATTCTTCATACTATGCTACACACTACAGACCCCAAACTACTGCACTTTGCTTACTATGCTATAAATTAAATTTTCCAGACCACTGAGCAGTGTACATTGCTATACTTTCAGACTACTGGGAATTTTTCTAGAAATGCAAAATGTCTTTCTGTTCAGAAACAGCCACACGTTTTCTTGTATATAGTTGTTAGAAGAGGTAAAAAACAAGAACCAGCTTTATCATTTTTGACTATTCAAATGTCAATTAACCTGATATGCTGTTTACTGTTTATAGAAGTTTTCCAGTTGCACGGTGTTTTAAAATAGCCTTTAAATGGCAATTTAACTACTGGTTATATAAATTCTATGTAAACTATTAGGTGTAAATATCAAAGCCATAAACTAGTTTTAATTCCAAGTATTAATAATTATTGTTAATTATAATAATTACCTTAACCATTACTCTGGGGGAGCCTTTGTTGTTAGATGTCCTTAGCCCCAGTTGAAAATTCGGTACTATTTTTGTATTATAAATGCATGATAAAATAAAGTTCTGCATGTTGCATTGTAACTGTACATTGTACAGGGAGTCTCTGTTGGTTTTATTCTCCAGCACAAACATCAGTCCTTTTTTTATCAGTATTTTGTGTTTGCTTTAATATTTATTCAGCTGTATATCTGTGGAGAATACTATTGATGTTCAGCCCCAATTATTATTTATTCTGATCTTGAAGGTAATAAAAAAACAGGAACATTAATATTTAAAGAAATATAAATGGAAAATGCAAAGAAATGAAGCTCCAGCTAATTAATAAATGCAAAATGATAATTATCTTTAAACCTCCTAATATTAAAAACATGTAACTTTGTATTGATCTATACAGACATATACCTCTACAGCTTATTACAAGCATATAACTAATTTATGTATGTGTCATTGGTTTCTAATTCAATAAATAAATAAAGAATTCTAAAACAAAAAGTGTTAAAAACGAACCTATAATTTTTTTGTGGCAATGTTTTAAAGGAGCTAAAGTGTTAAAATGTCAATGTACACAGAAGATGAAGGAGATAATTACAATGTGGGACATTTATTAATTCTGTCACACAATCAGGTAGTCCAAAAAAAAGCAGTGAAAGAAATTTGAGATTTATGATTAATTAGATGGCATTATTAATAAATTACCCCTCTGCTGCTCTAAAGTAGCACCTGGACGAAAAAAACCCTGCTCCTGACCACTTTTTAACTGTGCATCTGTCTCAGACCTGTGCAAATCTGTCATAGTCAGGTGCCCAGGATTACAGGAGCAGGTGCACAAATACACATAAAAACTGTCGCAAAGACAGTGCTAACTGACGGGCAACTTGATTTGCATCTAAATGTGTTGCTTATTTGCAAAACAGATGTCCCTCATTGCATTGCAACAATTGGAAAATATTACTTTTTGGTCAAAAGGACAGCTTTTGTGTATAATTTTGAATCCATTTATACCACATTCCCTGCATGAAATAGCTGGGAGCAAAGCTGAGTGTAAAAGTACCCATAGACATGAAGTGACTACAGATTTCTCTGTATGAATGCCCTGTAGAATAGATCTTTGTGGCACATCTATTATATTGGCCAAGCATACGTATTTGTACCTTGTGCAAACTCTGTGGTGCTAAACTTATTCTGAAAAATTGATTGCTTCACAGCAATTGGTCAGCCTAGGGGTATTGCCACGGGTCAGGCGTAGTCCATTGACAAATGATAGTTCCCTTGTGCAACCATATTTGGTCAGATCAACCAACGATCATCTTATCACCAAATGTTCTCAAACATAGTTACATACACTCATGTGGATACTTATTATGAGATTCAGGGGTACTTTTCCCTTGACAAAATTTCATAATGATGTTTCTTGTTTTAGGAAAGTATTACATCAAGAATGAAATATATAAATCCAGTTATGTAACATCAAAACATTTTAAACATTTTTCACCTAGGAGAAGTTACTTGATAAACACTGGTATGGTTCACACTTTTTGCAAATTATGTTTTTTTTATTGTCTCTTTTTACTGTAGCCCTGCACACTTAATGGTCTATTCCTAAATTATGTAGGCATTTTTTTTAAAGCGCAGAAACTGTATAGAAAATAATATTTTTATTTTAAATATGCCATGGCTCAGCTGGCATACATTTTAGATGCTATTGTGTATGTGTACAATTCTAATATTTGCACAGGACTGAAGAGTCTAAAAGTAATGGAGTGTGTGAAAGCTATCAGAGTTTCTGAAAAATCCCTGACCTCCTTAACCCTTCACAGCCACTGACAAAAGACATACTGTGGAACAAAAATGTTTCCAGCTGGCCAGCTCAGTATGCCTTACATCGGCTGCATTCAGCCTTCTGCTGTAAGCTCATGGTCTCTTCAGTAACCATAAGCTTATAACAGACCTGTCCCATCAACTCTTCTGTGTAAACGAATAGATGTGTCATGACAGCCATTCATTCAAAATCAGGTCCCCTGAGGCCCCTGCCATGCTGTTACAGTTGCTACTGCTGCTCGATCCTCATCGTTGAGTGCCAGTGATCTACTGCTCTGCATGTCCCCTGTGTCCCCTCTGGTCCCCACTTCTCTCACCTGACTGTATCAGCAGAGACCGCAGGGATCAGAGGGGAGAAAAAGAGACAGGCTGCCAGCACACAGTGGGTAGGAGCAGGGCCGGTGCAAGGATTTTTGCCAACTCAAGCGAAGGTGCATTTTGCCGCCCCCCCCCCCCAGCTCGTGCGCACGCACGCACCCATCCACACACACACACACACACACACACCATACATTATATCTGTGCTCCATTAAACTTTAATAGTTATGAAGCTTAAAGTGATCGTAACTTATTCATCTTTTACAGAGAAAGATAGCAAACAAACTATTTGTGGTTTTGTAAAGTGCATTTTATCAACAGTTGTTCCATAACATAAGTTATAAGAACTACAAAACATTTTCAACAATGAAAGTGCAGCAGAACATAGTGCAAACACATTAACTTAGAGTGGGTTTTTCTAGGGTAAGAAGTCACAGTATTCTTGTTCACACACAAATTAGAACTTATACTGATAAATATTCATATTAAAACACAGCAAAAACACAACACAGAAACAGAGAGAGCTGCAGGCGGGAGGGTCCAGTCACAGATAGGGCAGTGCAGTTCAGGATGGCAAACGGAGGATAAGTAAATATGTGCTATATTTCTTGATCCTTCCCTTCAGGGCTGGCCTTTGGGGTGTGCAAGCTCTGCAGCCACAGAGGGTGCCATGGCAACAGGTGTGCCAGTTGGCAGACACAGCTCAGCTTCAAAGCGGCAGGGAGTAGAGCACCCTGCAGCTTCTCCTCAGATCCCTGCTGCTCTCCCCTGCCTCTATGGGCAGAGGCAGCGGTGATCCGAGGAGAAATGGAGTGCTGAAGTTGGCAGGGTGGAGGAGGGAGCTGTCATCCAGGATGGTCGAGTGGTGAGGAGAGAGAGTCGCCGGCTGTCAGATCCTGGCAAAGTGGCTCTGTGCAGCTCTGTGCATGACTGAGTGGTTCAGGATGGAGAGTTTGAGGATTGGTAAATATCTGTGATATTTACCGATTCTCTGTGAGCAGCACAAACACTGGAGTGATCGCTGATCACTCCAATGTTTGTAAACAACTGGGGATACATTGTGTTATATGTCCCCAGTTATAGATGAAGTTTCATAAGTTTCTGAATGGGTAGAAGCAGCTCAGTACAGAGGCTTCTATCCATTCATAGCTGGTTGATAGTAAATATTTACTATCACCAGTTTGACAGGAGACAGGAGACAGTCTGCACAGATCCCTTCCTGTTCATTTATGGGTGGGTTGATAGACTCAGTTTGTAAATGGACAGGAAGCCTCTGTACTGTTTCCTGTTCAGTAATCCTGGGGCTGCAGTGAAGGAGATTGAGGACTCTGTGTCCTCAATCTCTTTTTTTATCTCAAAAGGGAAATAACAGCGGTCAGTTTAGAGCCCTGCTATTTCCCAAAGTCCCCTGACAGTAATGAAAAATAATAATAATTACACATAATTATAAGAATAATAAACGTAGTTTAAAAACGTAAACCTCCCTGCACACAGACATATAGCATACACATGCAACAGTGTGCACCAAAACAGGGTGTGTATAATGCACATGTACTGCAGTGAATTGTTAGAATATATAACAGTGCTTTATTTCTTTATTTTTGAAATACCATTATTCAATTGTAAGTGACAGCTACATAATTTTATCCCAACAAACACAAATGCAGTAACAAATGGCATAAGCGGAACTTACTTACAGTTTTGCGTTCCTTTATGTTTTACAGTTTTGCAAAAAGCACAATTTAAAATTTACCAATACTTGCTATTTATTAACTCAATACAGTTTTATCTTTTTGATTTAGTAGGCATCTTGTAAATTATGTTTTTGTGCGCTCATAATGCTTTTAGTGTATTTATATTGAAAATATTGATTTGATGAACATTTGCACAACAGTCACAGGACCGTCAAAATTCTTAGCATTATCTTTTCATTCTATTGGTCCTGTGCTTTCAGGAAATGTATGGTTTGTGGGGCCTTTTTATAAATGCTGAAAGCTGCAGTTGAAATTTTAAAAAAAGGTGAAGAATTGCAAAAATGGCCTGGCCATCTGAGGTTAAAAGTGGATCACAGGGCCTGGCAGCGAAATGGTTAAATAACACTATATTAATCAATAAATACTTAATAATCTATATTAATTATATTCATTTATTTTAAAAAGTATGTTCTTTTGCTCTGTCTGACAATTGTAGTGTGTATATTTTAAAACTGACAACCTTACCATATGTTTTATGTTACTACCTTGTGCATTTTAAAAATTAAACTGTGCTTAATGCTGCCAAATTCATTTACTATAGGGGTCAATTGTCAGCTTAGAAATGTAGTGACCTGCAGATCAACCATATCCTATTTCATGGAGAGATATCCTGAGTTTAAAACTTGCACTTGTTTAGAGGATATTTACTGCACCGTCAAAAAGTTACTGGGAACTGAATGTATTCCAGAAGAAGAAGGTAATAATTTTTGTGATATGATAAGTTATGGTTGCTTAAAATTCTTTGGTTACCATAATGATTTATGACAAAGATATCTAATGTAAAGGCCTTTTCAACAGCAGTTGACATCCAACCACTAAAAGGACTTCCCTACATAAGATATTTTTATAAATATACATGATTAGCTGAATGTACATGTTTACACATTAAACATACACCCCTTGAACTAACCTTATGACTAGGAAGCAATAGCAAGTGATTAGAAATATCAATTTAATAAGATCACTTTTCAACCTATTGGTTGGTTCGCAATGCCTGCTAGAGGTAATGTCCACATACTGTATATAGGCATTGTGTTCAGCGTTCCTCTACCATGGGTTCACAGAGAATCCCCGGGAATTGTGAAGTTTGCAAATCCCATACTTTTGGGGGGAAAATTGCAGGTTTACCCCCAGAAATAAAGAACAATCTATATTGCATAGTATTTGCCTTGGTCAGCTAATTCACATAAAATAAATAGGAAATTGATAACCCAGAACCCTTTGTATAAAAGTGTGGGCTCACAGCAGCCATATTTTTAGTATTTGAGCCATGAGGCACAGCTGACGGTTCTGTGTTGTATACTTTTTTTATTAATTAATTTTTAATGTATTTTGACATTGGTATACTGTATGTCCCCCATGGCAGTGCCTGGCTTCCCATACTTTATGTTAAACAACACTTTGCTTATTAGCCCTACCAATGGCCAGAACTGAATAACATGATTCATTCTATCCCCCCATAGACTCTAATGTGGTTCAAGGAATGTTTGCAAACTTTAAGCAAGCTTCACAAAATTGTTTGCAACCTTTTTTTGTTGTTCCCAAATCTGATTGATACCAGCCAGAATAAGTGATGTCTACGGTTAGGTTAAAGAAACTGTTGTGTGAGTTGGCTTAGAAGCTGTCATGTAAGAGCACACTTCCACATGAGAAACTGTCATGTTATAAAAAGCTGACAGGTATAGGGCTGCAAGGTTAAAACTGATATAAAATTTACCTTTAGTTACATAGTTACATAGTTAGTCAGGTTGAAAAAAGACACAAGTCCATCAAGTCCAACCTATAGAGCTGCCACTGCCACATGAGAGTCTATCCAGGTACAGTATATGGAGATTACCATGTAATAGCACTGTCATGCATTCTTTGTAGAGAGAGAGATTACTCTATTGCTCACCTTTTTGATGATGTAGTTAACAAAACTATTGCTATCTTAGAGTGGTAATTGTGTTGGCTTACTCATGAAAGACACATTATTTTGGTGTCTGACACAGCCACAATGTCCCATAAGGTGACCATATACTGCTTAAATTTAAGACAATACCTGAGCTCTCAGTAACCCCAAAATAACAAAAGTTATTTTTTAATAGAATTTTCTTTAAAAAAAACAGTCCTAAAATTCTGTTTGGGTATTCAATTCAACATTCAATTGAGAACGCAACAGGGATTTTGGAATTAAGTATTGGAAAAATTTGTAATGTGTATGGCAAACTTGGCATGTATGGCCAGATTAACTCACTATAAGTCTGGAAAATGGTAATAGTGGCTTGCCTGATGCTAAAATACTACTGGTTCAGTCAGTGATATCAGATCACCATGGCAAATAACCAGGGCTGTGCTTCTGTCTCTGAGCTGAATTCCCCTTGTATAATACCATTTTTTTAAGGTAACATCATCCACATGCTATAAATAAAAGTGCAATTATATCGTCTTACTTTTACCACGATCCAAGGTTTGTTGTAAAAAATATATATTTGGGCTGCCTTGCAATGAGCAATACTTTTATGATCATATTACAGCCATAAAACCGAGCAAAATTAAGTAAGTTGTATAATATTGAAGTAATCAATTTCTTTTTGCGTGCAGTACCGAATGTTCCTACAGGACCTATTAAGCAGGACATTTCGATTATACAAAAAAGCTTCATGCATCATCCAAGAAAAATTGATGGCACTTTATCAGGAAAGGCAAATGATTGCATTTTGGCAAAACAATTATGTAAAGAAAACCATAATTGCTTTTCTTTATATGAAAACTTTAAAAGTCAGTGCATTCATCCACAAGAATGCACCCTGAGTGATGCCGTACAAAGTTGTTTGACAGCTTGGAGTGAACTGAGAAAGACTGTAATTGGAAACTGTGTATGCCTTAACTCAACAAAAAGGAAATGTATCAAAGTTTGGAACAGTATTTATAATAATACTTGCTTACAACATGCAAAAGAAAGACATGTTTCTAAACCTTCAGAAGATATAAAGGATTTCACTGCATTGGACCAAGATTCATGTAAGTACTGATTGCCATTCAATATGTCTTTTTGTGCAAAACTGTTACAATAGCCTGGTGCTCATGTTATTATAGAAATGAATACAATACAAAACAGTACAATATATGGGGAGAACAACACGTACTGTGGGCAACATATCTGTTCTGGAAATTAAAGTATACCTAAAACCAATGTGTTTTTTTTGTTTAGGATAAAGTATGGAATGGTTAAAAAATTGGGATAAAAAAAGAAAATGCTGTGTATATGTCGCCATTTTGTTTTAGTTTTGGATGGAGTAGGAAAGTATTAGAACACTGCTCAGGTTTTGATTGATGTCTATGTCTCTGCTGGGGAGATTCACCCTTCTTAATTGTCCTTTTATCATTCCAATGGGAATATTGTTCCTTGTCTCCATGACAACTGTCTCATCTCTAGGACAAAAAGTTAAGGGAAATATTTCTAGTAACACACATATCAACCATTAAACATAATCACAGAAATCATATGCAGTCTGCTAAATACTGACCTAACAACCTCCATATTTAGGTCTTATCTCAGCTGTTGTGCAGGGTGTTGAAGTATATTATTTGCATTCCAATAGACACCACAGTGAGATCCAGTACTCTCCCCTCCACTAAAATATAAGTCGGCAAGGACACTTGTGCTGAAGGGTGTGATTGTTATGCTATTCTAGCACAGGCCACTGGAGAGAGGGGTAGAAAGCACCTTTTTCACTTAAAAGCATTTCACAAATCAGAACATGCAGGGGGTACCAGACTATATAGGGATTTTAAAAAAATGTGAGCCTTCAGTTAGGCTTTTATTCATTAATTAATAAACTGGATCTCTAAGGTGCAGTGTGGTACTTGTATATTTAGTGATTAAACTTTTTATTACAATATATTTGGTTTACCTTATCCATGTGGATTTAGTCAACTTATGGAAAATCATTGACTGATTTGCTCATGCCAAGTTACTGTATACATTGACACAATGGGAATTAATGTAAACTATAATACTGATTATTTAATTTATATATTTATTTTAAAGGGTAGAAACTATACACACCTGTAATGCACACCCTTTATTCTTTTATTTGACTTTCTTATTCAGATTCTTCTCAAGTGACTATAAATTTAGAATGGGATACAAGTACATTAAAAAATATCGGTAAAGTATTATTAAAATTCTTATGCTACAAAATTTGCCACAGTGAGTGTGTCTTATAAGATCTCTTATTTAAGATACTTCTTGAGTCACTGAACTTGATTTGCCATGGGAATAGAGGCTGTTCACTTAGCAAAGTGGATTTTCTCTGAACTTAGTAAATAAAGAAAAAGTATGATCACTTTATGTTTATTAGTTGCAATATACCACTCAATGTACCACTCAATGGAGATAGAAAACTGTGTTGAGCTAGGAACAAGCAGACATGCTCTATGGCAGACTGTCAATTATTTTCTATAAACCACTCTGCTAAAAGTCCCACTTCTAATTTTTTATTCTAACTCAGACATCTATGTCTCATTACTTGTACAAAGCACAGTTGCTAGTAAACACAAAACAATAGATTCTGGCAGTGGTGTCTTTTGGCAGAGCAAGGGCTGGTGTTCAATGCAGAAGATCCTTGGACAGGAGAGGATTAGTATGCAAACAAGGGGCTAGGTTTACATTAGAGTAGGTTAGCATTAGGGTCATAGGGATCTTCAATGTGCAGTTTAATGTGTGGGTTACAGGGAGGGTTATTGTTAGGGCCCATCGACACAGTTGTGCTTGCAAATGTGTGTTGCAATATAACAGTCCATTCAACTGACTGCCCAATGCACTGAACTGCACAAAAAATGGTATATGCAGCATTTTCAGCAGCACAGCGCATGGCAATGCATGTCATGTCAGTGCTCTTTAATGCAAGTGCATTGAGGGTGCCACTCAGAATGAATGGACTGCTAGGGATACTGGGGGGGAGGGGGGGTTAGTGTTATATGTGGATTATCTTTAGGGTTAGAGGGAGGGTTAAGGTAAGGGTAATGTGAGGTTTATTGGAAGGGTCAGTGTTATAGGATGGGTTAGTGTTAAGGTGCCCATACTCCTGCCGATTATCGTACGATCCCGCAATCGTACGATAATCGGCAGGTGTATGGAAGGCGTGCAACTGCTTCTACTGTATGGTTGCATGTCTTTTGCCTTCCGAGTACGCTTGAAAACCTTCCAAAAATTGTAAAGGTTAGTGGCGTGCTCTGAAGACAAATGCCGAACGGGCCTATGTGCGCAAGCGCACACTGCCTACTCAGCATTGGAATCATCAGAGGGCTTGCGATGATCGCAAGTATGATCTGCCTGTCCAAGATGGGCAGATTGTATGTGATTTTAATTACCCTACAAAAGTTGTGCGATGGTTGTAAGGTGTATACCCAGCTTTAGGGTTAAAAGGAGGGTTTGTGTTATGGTATATGGAGTATAAATGTTAGGGTTTTAGGGAAGGTTACTGGTAGGAGCTTTAGACTAGGTCAGTGCTCTCTGTGCTGGAAGCTCTGTGCTAGAAAATTATCACCACTGAAAGCTTATGTATTTTAGTAAAAACTGTGCAAGCGTCTTTAGTATAGGTAGTGGTAAAGGATGGGGTTTTGTATCTGTGTTTTATGGCAAAGGCCCTAACTCTATGATTTATTAACAACATTTTTACAATTATCTTACCTATCTGCTGCTGCCTAGTTTGTTTGTGCTATAGACAATCAGAGGAAATTGTGATGAGCAATCTAGCTGCACATTCGGTTTTGCCATTTGAATTGTTTATGGTAACTCTGTTATCTTATAATGAAAAAAAAGATAGGAATGAAACAAGTAATCCTGGGCAATGGCTGTTTAATGCATGCTTTTTTCCTCCTCTGACTGAAGCAAGTAGGGATGCACCAATACTGTTTTTTCAGTATCAAGTACCGATATTTATCGTTCAGTACTCGCCGATACCGTGAACTGATAGCCAGGCCCAGATTCCCCACAAGGCCACCGAGGCCCGGCCTCGGGGCGGCAGGGCGCAGAGGGGCGGCAGCGGTGTCCTTTTGGGGAAGTTGCCCTCTCTACATTCAGTCCTGCTTTGTACATGTTGCCGATTTCACATATAAACAGTGTGCAGCCTTCTCCCTCTCCCTCTCCCCCCTGCACTTACATGCTGATTGGCAAGCCGGCTTCCCAACCAATCAGGAAGCCAATCGGGAGCCGGGAGATGGGTCATTACCTGTCGCCTGGCTTCCTGATTGCCCTAAAGCCCGTTCAATGCTGTTTGGCTGGCTCCATGCTGATTGGCCGTCTCCCAGCCAATCAGCATGGAGACGGCCAAACAGCATAGATCTGGCTTCCCGGCCAATCAGGAAGTTGGGCCGTGAGTCATTACCCGCGGCCCGGCTTCCTGATTGGCCGAGAAGCCATCTCCATGTTTCTTCTGATTGGCACTGCCTATCAGAGGAAATCTCCCTCTGAACGTAAGCTACTATATCTGGATAAGGATCGGAGCATTTGGGGCGAGTACGAGTGCTCGCCCAAATACTCTGTATCGACACTGAAACTAGCATCAGTATTGGTGCATCCCTAAAAGCAAGTATAACAAAGACATCCACCAGTGTATACAGCTTTTTCAGCAAATTTGAGCAATGGCAGCTACAACATTTTTTATGACAATGTCTCTTTAATATTTTAAATTTGATGTCAAATGCTTAATATGAGTACAGGTCTATGTGGCTACAATTAACTATATGGATGTAAAGCTAATAAATCCTAACATTTTAAACTTTATTTGCTAAAGTGTGAAGTTCACTGAAATTAAGTGATCCTGGTCCTGATTTCCTAAAGTGTAAAGTGAATCTGGGTCTACTTCAAAAATCTTATCTGTAGTAGGGGGAATCTACATTTTTAAAATTCCATTACAATTAAACCTATATTTAGGCAGGATCATTTCAGCTTACTTTAAACTATAGTGAATTATGCCCAAAATGTATATTGTGCAGCGTATTTTAATGTTTTGACAAATTATTCTAATATTCTGACTTTCCTTTTTTAGAATATGAAGGTCCAATGTCTTGCTTAAAAGTTGCAGCACTTTGCATTGGGGACTCTGTATGCAATAAGCACTTGGCTGTACTTATGAAGTCTTGCCCTGTTAATGGAAATACATGTAGTGTAAAGGACTGCCATAAGTCAATACGCTCATTCTATGAATCTATGCCTTTCAATGTTTCCCAAATCCTGGCTTTTTGTGATTGTGACCAATCTCACGAGGACTGTCAACGTGCTGGAGATGTGCTTCACAGCAGATCATGCACAGTCGCCACAGATATACCCATGTCTTGTCTTCATGTGGTCAATAGCTGTTTTGATAATGAGCTGTGCAGGTTAGTCAAATAAGTACTTATGAATTCAACAATGATTTATATGTAGAAAATATACCAAAGCACATATTGCAGCAATGGCTTCTATCATTAATTCTTAAAATTAACATGTCTTCACCTCCATAATTGTATTTCTGCAGAGAAAGATATGGAGCATATCAGTCAAAATGTTGGGAACACACTTTCAGATGCCATAATGAAAGGAGCTGTTTGCTAGGCTTAACCAAACAAGATCTGACTTGCTCTGCTAGTGAGGAATGTCGAGCTGCATATATCGGAACTCTTGGAACAAAGCTGCAAACTCCATGCACCTGTGACATTGGACTTGGTTATGAGGAACAACATTTATGCCATTTGTATTCCCACATACTGAATGGCAGATCCTGTTTGAGTAAGTTACCTTGCAACAGTTATGAAAAACTATTTGTGGGAAATGTTCTAGTTTTCTGCAAGAATTAATTCGAAAAAGTTCTCTGATCCTCATTTATGATAGTACAGACACTCATATAAGATAATACAGACACTCCTCAGTTAACAAACGAGTTCCTTTCCTACGACTAGGTCATTAAGCGAATTGGTCACTAAGTGAGGAATAGAGGAAATCATCTCTAATACACAGTACATGACTTAGGTTTGCAAACCGCAAATACCAATACATTGTTATACCAATGTTTTATATGTATATTAATCATGTCCACACCCACAGCAATCTTGCTATAGGTCTACTAGTCTGTATGCCTGAGGGACTGGATCTGAAAGTTCCTGATTGGGAATTCTTGAAGTAACTGCTGGCAGAAAAGCAACTCAGTCTCTAACCCAGCAGACCAAGTTGCACATCTCTATTTCCAGGCCCATGTGCAAAAACTAGGCTTGTCACACTAATGTCTTAAAAACGGAATCAATATCACTTTCTTTACGGTTATCAGCTCTTTCCATTTAGTAGAAACCCTAGTGGAAATTAAAAACTGTTTCATATGGCTGGTTTAAAAATTCAAGCATATGTTTAATATCCCATAGCACTTTGAAAATTATGTTTCCTCCTTAGAAAATATTAATTAATATGAATGATGATGGATCTTTTTAAGTTTGCATTATTAGTGTTTTACACTTTAAATGTCTAGCATGAATGATCACCTTTGTTTTTAATAGTGATACTGCCTGCTTGCTTTAAGGCAAAATCAAATGTTTTCTCTTAAGTTCGCAATAGTGTTTGGTATAAATAAGCTAACTTTTTAAACCAATTTTACAACTGCATTCTTTGTAGTTACTTTATTTTACATGAATTGAAATCAGTTTTATTCAGATTATGATCTCTTTTGTAGAAGGAATTACTGCAAGAAACATCCATGCATCATATAGTGACACACAAGATGAGCAGATATCAAAACCACACACCTATCAAAGTGGTGAGTAAATTATGAGTGCTTAAAGATAGATGTAGTGAAGGTTTCTTAAAGTGACACTAAACTCATGAGTTAAATCTCAAACACACATTCAAGTACCTTAACTATTAACAAAAATGTAGCTTTTTTGCGTATCAGTAGATCGACAAATCATCTCTGAGTTTATGCTGACACTGTCCTTCCTTCTGAAGGGTGGCTACTTTTGTTACCCGTGGTCCCTGTGTGTTGTAAAGTAAAGCTCCCTTCCATGAGGGACTACAATCGTAATAAAAATGAGCAAACTAAACATGAGATTGTAGTCCATCACGGTAGGGAGCTTTGAATGAGGTGAAACTGTGAATGAAGTGAAGCTCTGCTAACTTCCATCATCCAATCATGTGTAAGCAAAAATACAGTTTTTTTTCTATTTTACCTGCATGTGATTAGGTATTCTTTGCAAAGGGAACAATCACAACATTCACTAAGCTAAGTGAAAATTCCCTTGCAAAATAAAAATGTAATCCCGTTGTGTGAATGCTGCCACTGAAAACAAAAGGAGGCCGGGGCGTGGCCAACTGCCGAGCATGATGGCCGCTGTTTGATTCAGCTCCACTCCAGAGCCCACAAAGCGACATAGCAGCGACAGCAGGAAAGATCTCTCACCCCCCAGATTGATGAGCTCCGACCCGGGTGACCCAGAAATGCGAAGGAGGGGGAAGAAACGATTTTTTTTTGTTGACAAAAACCTAATAAAATATTTGAAACAGAAAACAAAAGGAGCATAACCTCCAGCACTTGACATAAAAATGACCACAATGGGGCTGATGCAATGGGGTTGATTTTCTAAAGGCAAATATGCTGTTTACTTTGCTTGGGGAATATTCACTTTGCAAGGGAAGAATGCCCAACAACACGCAAGGAAAATAAACAAAATAGTATTTTTGCTTGCACATGATTGGGCGATGGAAGTCAGCCAAGCTTCACTTTATTCACTAAGCAAATTCCTGCATGAGACTCGTGTGATCTGATGTGGGTGGGAGGTGCCGTCAATACAATGACAGTAGAACCGTAGGGCTGCTGTACGGACTATTCACTATAGCCCGTACAGCTCCCGAAGTTGGCCGGGGGGCTCAGTCGAACCGAAGGCATATGTTTCGGCTCGACTGAGCCGAGGTGAAAGCCGAAGCTGGCCGAGCGGCCGGCCATTGGCCTGCTGACAGCCTGCTTCTTGCATCTGGGTGGAGCCAGCCGTGGTGTTACGGCTGGCTCTGGCCACTTGCAGAGAGATCAGCGTCCCTGGTTACCAGCTAACCAGGGACACTGATCTCCAGACAGCCTAACTCTCCTGGGCGCTCCGGGAGTTTCCCGCTCCCGGCCGCCCAGTAGAGAAACACTGCTTTTTCTTTTTTATTCTGACACGGAGCCGTTGGCTGGCGTCAGAATATTTTTTTTTTTTTTTAGAACAGTAGAGTAGAACAGCCAATTCGAATTCGGCTATTCACTCACTGCTGTTCGGCATCTATAAGAATAGACCGAACAGCAGCGAGTAGCCTGACGGAGGTTCGGCTTAGCTGATCCAGATGTTGAATCGGCTGAGTCGAACAACTTCTGCACTTCAGGTCGGCCAAACATGCTAAACATGTTCGGCCGACCCGAAGCCACGCAAAGCCACCCGATGTACGGCTGATTTCAGCCGATATATGGCTGAAAGCAGCCGTACCAGCCTGAAGTGAACAGCCGAACAGCCTGCAGCAGCTTAGTGAATAGACCCCATAGTGACTAACACTAGACAGCGGGAACACTTACAGATAAAGCTAAGGATTGACCAGAGTGACAGTCCTTGTGTGCACAACTACAGCCTGGAATTGATGAATGCAGCCAGTTAAGCAATCATAACAAAAGCAAGGTAGTAAGCAATATTGTCAATACAACCCAGAAATAATGACTACTTTAGCCAGGGATTGACTACAAAATTAAACCACTATACTCAGTGTGGCACACTGCAAACACCACAAATGAGACTACTGACTGAAGATAAATAAATTATTAGAATCATCTGATACATTTATGTATCTTTTGGAGGCCTTTTTCTGGGCATTTTAATTGGGCTTCACATGCTGCTATATACGCAGAGATATACGGTTTTGTGCTTGGTAGGAATTATGGTAAGGACTGCCCAAGTCCCTTATAGTCGCATTCAGCCAAAACTAAATTGCCTTACCGTTAAAGTGGCTGTTAACCCTAACTGGATGACTTTTTTTTTGATAAAGCACTACGTATCATAAACAAGTAACAAATAACACGTCTTTTTTGTATGCAAATACTATTTTGATCCTTTTTTCTTCTCTTTTTGCTGCTGATCTCCTCAAGCATCTTAGCATCACTTCCTGTCTACATTCATTAATCCCAGTGTCAGCTGCATGTCATTTGCTTCATGATGGTGACAACGGAAGAACATGCCTGTGCAATAAACATTGGCATGGCCGCTTATGGTCTCCACCGGAAGCACATACGGCAGGGTGACAACATTGTAAAGAATGAGCAAATTGGGAGACAGGGACAGGACATTTTCACCCATGAGAAGGTTACTAGGTATTACTTAAATTAAACTATCAATGTAAAATGAATAAAAATTACTTTTGAAATTACATTAACACTTTTAAGATTATATAGGTTATTAGCTATTGGGTTTACATCAACTTTATCATTGATGTCAGACTACAGAGACTTAAATATATTGATTTCTTTTTGACTTTATTATGATTATATTTACTGAACTGTAAAATATATTTAGCTACCCCGGCTTCAAATCTAGCTCTATCTATTAATCTTGTTCTACATAAATATAGTTATCAACATTTGATTAATAGTTTACCTGATTAAATGGAGGTTTAGCCCTTACCACCTTTTGTAGAGTGGCAACTAGAAATTTAGTGTTGCCAGAGCTGTAGTCAGTCTGGCTGAATTACAGTTGGCATTTAACTGGTTAATTTCAGATGTTCTGACATTGATTGTACCTGCCTGAGTGGGGTGTGACCCTGCTGCAGTGTGGGACAACCAATGGGGAACATTATGAGTGTGTGGCTCGCCAGCCAATCACTGGGGATTTCATTGCCTGTGGTGTGCATGCTGGGGAAGTGCATATACTGTATACTCAGGGAAATTGCTATGTGCTCAGTCTAGTCCTGGTTGGAGTCTAGTTCCAACCTGCCCCCAGGATTGGCCAAATGCTTGATCCTGCATTAAGGAATACTGAAAGAGAATGGTGAGTCTCTCTTCCAGTTGATGACTTACAAAATAGCATTGGAAAAAGATACTTACACTGACAAGCGCCCAACCTTTCTTTCACCACACATCCCTTTACTGGCCTAGGATCTGCCCCTGAGAATTAAATGTCAGCCCTCTCTGCCCTTTGGAGATCCATTCTATGCCTTTGGAGGGGGGGGGCATTACAGAGGTCAAATGCATGTGAGTTTTCCATAAAAAATGCATGGTCCTGCTACTCAACAAAATGCAGTCTTGCAGTTGCTAAAACTTGTATCACTCACACAGCAATTTTCATCTGAAAAGGCTTTGATTGAAACTTTATTTTGACAAATACTTTTGAATTCATGAAGATGTAAACCCAATCACAAAAATAGAAATGCTTACATATAAATGTTATTTTAAAAGCTGTTTTCAGTTTTTTTTTAAATCTGCAGCTTTTTATGAAATAATACCTGGTGATCCTTCCGTGAAGGTCTTTTTGAGGGTTCATTCAGTCACCCTGTCAAATGCACTCTTGGTAGAAAATACAATAGGCCATACTACCAAACATTGCACAGGAGTGGCCAACTGTTGTACATGTCCTACTCTACCCATAAAGAAAAAACAGTCAGTGGCAGTTGTTTATGATGTGCATTGCTTTGGCAAACAAAATGTTTTTCAGTTAGTTTAGTTCCTCTTAAATTATTCACTTAATCACTATATGTTGTCTATTCTAGATGCGATGATATATATTATTGCCTATACTTCTGGGATAATTTTAATTTCTGGAATTATTTTCTTGACCTTACTACAGACAAGGTAAGAGCACAAGATAGGATATATATATATATCTATATATATCTATACATAGATATATATATATATACCATGCACTGGTAGCACTGCATGCTACCAGTGGGTAGCAAGATATATATATCTATGTATAGATATATATAGATATATATATATCCTATGTATATATATATCTACATACATACATACATACATACATACATACATACATACATACATAGATAATTGAACAAACATTACTCATGTTACTCAAGTTTTTTTTATTGCCTATCTTTCCTTTTTACCCAAGGAAAGCTAATTAGTGCCAAGTGCTCTTGCTGACAAAGGTGTGCTTCAGTTGGAAAAAAAATAAAGGAACTCATGCACACACACAGTGCCGTATTTTATATTTATTTGAAACCAGACATCTCCTTAGACCCAATGTCACCTCCTGACATGTTTTATCCTCGGTAAGGCTTAATCATAATAGAGGTGTTGGGGTCAACCAAGTGGCATATACAATTATATTCAGTTATACCAAGTTATGTCACTTATCAAAGAGCATATCCAGCCTCGCCATAAAAACCATCCATCTTATAATCTTATAAGTTATTTTAAACAAATCCTATAAAATCAACTACATCATAAATGTACTATTTAAAAAAAGTTAAAGTATATGTAATATCAAAACTTTTTTCTAAGTTTTGCATAGACTGAGAGGGAGTTAAACCTTCTGTCATGTCACGAGCACATAGGTCCATGTACTCAAAAAATACTTATCGCTGCACCCGTGAGCCATAGGTGTTGTGTAAAGCCTATCAGTACAATTTAATGACAGGCTTCGAATGTACACTGGTAAATTCTGCTTTAAGTGAATACTTGTGTTCAGGTATGCCTGCCATTGATCGCTACAAATGAGCTATTAGCAACACCAAAGTGTCTTGCAGCCAAATTGGGATAACATCTACTTTATATTTTGACATGTTCCCATTTA